TGCAAAAACTTTGAAATGGAATAAATTTTATAATTTTTTTTTATTTTTGTAGTATTTATATAGTATACTTTTTAGATTGAAAGGAAGTAAAAGTTGACAAGTTTCTCAATTTTTTTATTGAAGTAGATAATTATTTGAATTGTATCTTGTAATTGTATCTTGACTACAAAAGAGTAATAAAATCACACATTAATTAGTTAATTGTTCCTTTTACATGTATAATTTAAATGATGTGATGCATATTTTACTATGACACGGTTAGGATTAATAGGTGTCGACAGATCTTATTATAAGGTCACCGTACATTTATGATTCAAATACTAATACACTTCCACATAGGTTGATAACGTAATAATATAACTAAATATAATCGTAATCGTAAACGTAATAACGTAATGTCTAACTCAGAAAATCACGGAACCCCGTCAAGTTAATCTTTGAAACATTTTCTCATGAAACAACACTACGCTATACTCGAGACGTGCGCATACTCGTATCGTACTGTTTTTATAAGTCGTCTTACTATTAATATGACAACCAGTGGTCTGAATTCACAATCACACAATAATCTAAGATATACATTTTACCCAAGTATTCGTCTCTTTTCCGGTGTATTGACGTACTGCTTATTTTACTTGCATCTTTGAAACGGTTCGTTTACTGAGTCTTAGTGGAATTCTGTCACAAACTCTCGACTAACAATTCTTTAGTTAAAAAAATTGTATAAATTGTCTATTACATCATGCCTTGTTAGTTGCGAGTTCTTTTAGTATTTAATGGTCGATGTTTGTTGTTAGCTAATAAAGTCATCAATATTTTCAAGTTCTGAATCCGTATTTAAATTTTCAGAGGGGTAATAATTTTTGGCAGACGTATTTTATATCATATTATAAATAGACTTAAAGTACAAAAGATAAAATTGCTTTAAAAATACCAAATATCACAAAACAAAAAAGGATATAATTTTAATCAATGAACAATCGTGCTCCATTACTTAAAATTATAAAACTTATTAGAAGATATATCCAAAACTAGTATAAAGTTCTACATTTATAGATAATTAATTAATAAATGTAAATCCCATTTTAAAATATAACTTAATATTTTACATGTTGGTATTGAATCAGTACTTAAAAAATGGTAAAGTGTATTCTCTTTTTTTACTAATCTAATTTTTCTTCTTTCTTCTAGAGTGTAAATGATTTATCAACTATTATGGAGCTCACATGTACTTTTTTCTTTTGTTTTAGTAAAAATTAGTTTTCTTCTTTAATTTTTATGGTACACGAAGCATTTTAATGTACAACGTCGAAAAGATCATACGTTTTTGTCATATGTTCAAAATTATTTTGTTTAAATNCTTAGGAATAATTTTTCCTTATAATAAACTTGATATTCAATGGCTCAAGATAAAAATATTTAATTTTCATTTTTAAATTTTTTGTGAAAAAATTATTATTTAACGAAAATATTAAATAATTGCATGTTAAATTATTCACACTTATCTGAATTATCAATTATCAAATGAATTAAAATTATCTATAATGATAATAGTATCACTATAGATACTATTATTCTAATACATAAGTATTCTTACTAAAGAATTTAGAATCTTTTTATGAATAATTTATAAGCAGTTCTAAATTATTAACATAATTTTTAATATATTAAATTATAAATTATAAAAAATGAGAGATATTTTTTGTGGATTGGAAACTCTGCGAATTTAAAAGTAATTATGTAAACCTATTTGTTAGATACACATTAATGTGAGGTGACGCGATACATTTAATTTAATATGAAAACACGGTAAGTGAGGGAGAGCAGGTCAGTCGATCACATCATACACGTTTGTGTTTGTCACAACGGGTATGCCGCTGACACAACGCAATTTGTTTTTATCTTTTTTTTTGTAGCCGTCTAGTATTCCGGAGATTCCGCGTTTTTTATATAATATACGCCGCGACCTTCAATGTTTTTTCCCACTAAAAAACCACCACCTTCGTAACGGTACGGCGGCGCTGCTGTTTAGACCGGTCCCTGCAACGTATGGCATTGAAAACTAATTCATTCGCGCTCTCTCATTTGGTCGTTTAGGTCATATCGATGCCAAGTATTTGGGTCGTGTATTACCTTGTCACCATAGTCGTTGAATTGAGCTGCTTATCGTTTTTGCTGAACGTGACGGTGTTATTTGCCCTTCCTGTATCCAGACTTCACATTATTCATCAGTTCCAGACAGCAGTGGGTAATTAATAATAATTTTTTTTATTGTTATTTTACGGATTTACAGTCCACTTAATATGTATTAGTTATAAGCAGGAGATGTATGTTATTATTTTCGTTATTAATTTTAGCTAATTCTATTTATCATTTGGGTCTTGTTTGTTTGTTATTTTTTATCATAACGGAAATATCAGATTGTAATTATATATATATGTTGTTTTTCTTTCTATCTATAGTATATTGTAAGGCTCAATTTCCACAATTTTATATTTTCCTTTCCTTCCGCTAAGGCATGCCCAAAAATACGTATGGTCAATCGTATTTATTAAACAAACAAAAGGTTACAAATTGACAAGGTTTATTGACAAGGGGAGTACAGATTTTCATAAATGTTATATAAATTAAAATTAATATAGCATAGAAAGTTAAACTTATTTAAATTTGTTTACTTCTTTTAAGTCGAGAAAAATAACTTTGAATTTTGAACTAGCTTAAATAGCCAATTTTTTCACCCGACGGTAGAAACGTACAGTTGCTGAGTTAGAAAAAACTTGTGTTTAATACGCTTTGGGTACAAGGTTACAAACCCGCGTATGGCAATGATTTTTTTGCATTTTTTCTTAATTATTTTTAATTTAGAATAAATTTTCAACTGCTTTGATTTTAATCTCATTTAGATTCAATAACTTCAATAAAGATCAAGGATCCCATCACTGTAGTCGCCACACGCTAGAAGAAATTTTTTATTCATATTAAAATTCTTTTTCTATATTTTATGTTTTAGCTTCTACGCAAAGCTGAGAAGATATTTTTTTTTGACTATCTATTATTTTCTCTGCTCTAACATGAGTTAGTCTATTTATGTTTTGAGAAAAGATATACATTTTATTATTCAAAAATATGCTATTTTTGTGTTAAAACTCTGGGTTTTGAATTTTATTTTATTTTAAAATACCTGACAAGGGGAGTACAGATTTTCATAAATATTATATAAATAAAAAATTAATATAGCACAGATAGTTAAACTTATTTAAATTTGTTTGCTTCTTTTAAGTCGAGAAAAATTTACCCTCAAAAATTGAAAAAAAAATTTAATTTATCAATTAAACAGTTAGTTTTTCCATGTTCTCCATAAAGACAATTAAAATCATTCATTTCTAATGTTTTCAAAGTATTTATTGACGAATCAAGTTTGATATGATAGGTTTCAACTACAAAATTAAATCATTTTACATTGTAATTATTTCTGTATAATTTTAATATTGTTCATATTTTTATTTGTTTTATATTTTGTAAATCGTTAAGCCGATACCCTCTCTCAAACGTATTCGTCGTCGTCGTTGTGTCTCGCCCGGTGTGTAGGAATTTTTCGTGCTCTCTTCCCTTTGAACTACCGTCGTGGTATGTTTTTCTGTGTGCGTGTAGATAATTATAGTTTTTTAGCTTCGATGCGAAGCTGAGAAGGTATTGGTTTTACTAAGATGTGTTTTTTTTTTTTTTGTGTCTGTTACCACTTTTTCTCAGCTCTCACCGAACCGATTTCTTTCAATGATACGTCAAAAGATCACAAATCGTATCTAGTCGAAGACATTACCCTTAAAAATTGAAAAAAATTCCCTCGTTCCCCGTAAAAGGGGGAAACCTCCGAAAACATTACAAATTTAAAAATTGCTAATTTTCGAATTTTTTTCAATTTTTACCTTTCATTTGGTATATTTTTTTTATAAATTTAACCTTTAACCTGCCCACAAGGGGGGATTCAAAATGCGGAAAACACTTCATGTGAAATATTTAAAAGTTGTAGGTTAAATTTTTTTTGTGTCTTAATAATTGTTTTTTTTTCTCTTTTGTCCCTTTATTTGCAGAGTGGTTTTTGCCTTCGGGTTTTGTCCACTATTAACTTAATTGTAATATTTTAATAAAGTCCCCTTAATTTTCTTAATCAACAAAAATCTTTTTATTACGTGAATATCTTCAATATTCACGTGTATCTTATTTTTTTCCCCTTTAAATAATTCTCTCTAGTTTTAAGGTAACGGTCTTTGACATACTAAAGTATGTCCNTCTCTAGTTTTAAGGTAACGGTCTTCGACATACTAAAGTATGTCCACCACTGGTGACATCAAATAAACCTATTTGTTATAGTTACAAGGTATCTGCGTATTTTAGTCTACAACAACACTTTATATTTTAGTATATA